CATAACCAATTATTCATTAACATATTAATTATAGCCTATTTAGAGTTTAAATTCGATGTCTGTAAGTAAATTGTATAGAAAAAAAGTTTGGGCCATAATTTTGGTATTTAATAAATTAAGATTAGATGCTAACGCTGAAAACAATCTTTGTTTTCAAAAAGATGTTAAAATATTAAAATAGTATATTTTTTGGAAAAAAAATGCATCTATTAAAGTATTTGAGTGCACTATTAATGAAATTCCACTGTTATAATATTTAACCTAAAGCTTAATTTAAATTAAAGTTATTATTTTCAATAAATAATAGCTTTAAATTAAATTAATGTGGTTTTGGCTTCACACAGATATTGGTAGATTTATCAAGAGTGGCTTATGAAAATGAGTTTTTCTGTAACAAAATAGTTATTATAATAAATACATTTATTTCCTTAAAGGTGTTAAAAAAGTGAATAAAATAGTTTTGAGAAGAATTTATTTACTTCATTATATTTAAGAAAAGAACTTAAACAAAGCTGGCCAACGGTCTTTTATACTGGTGGAAGTGTGATGTGTAATTGCTTAATATAGGCCGTTTAGATTTAAAATACCAAATTTTAAAAATTGTCAAAAAAAATTTAAATGTTACTCACCACAAAATTTGCAACATTATTTTTGAAAATAGCTTACATTTAGGCATCTTCAAACACTTTCGAAAAAGAATCTCAAATATTCTTATCTAGTATTCTTATGTCAAGTATTCTTATGTTAATTTCTCCTTGACAAAAGACTTGATACTTGTAACAAATAAATGTAACTTAAATGTTTCTGTATAAAAACGCAAATTAATTTTTTACCAAATAATAAGTAAATCAAGTTAAAGAAAACATGCGAAGAAAAACATCATTTAGCTAGACCATTGTTTTCTATTCTATACATGTTATCACTCAAATTAACCACCGCAAAATGCATTCAGATCATAAAAAATTAAATGAATTCTAAAAATGTTTTATTTATAAAAAAACCAATTGGTAATTTTGATTTTAATACTTTTTTAGCAGCAAATAATCTATAAATAAAATAGTAGTTTTTCCTAGAAATATTTGTAATAACTGAAAATTATCTCTGTTTCAGAACATAGAAACTCAATCCTATATAATCTGTTATCTAGTGATAAATAGCTATAAATTCTTACATGACTGAATTCCCCAGTTTTGTTATGAATAAGCATAGACTTTTTAAATATATATTTTTTTCTTTGTTCAAAACACTTTAAATTTTTAATTTTTTTTTCCAGTTGACATTAGTTTTCGCACCAAAACCCTTTAATCCTTTGTTCATCTTATACTAAAACTTTTTTTCCATGCAAAAATTGTATAAATTTTTTTGTAATTTTGGAAAACCTTATTTTCTGTTTTATTATAATTTCTAATATAATTTCCTTCTAAATAGGTTCTAAATTTCTTTTTTTATGTCAGAAAACTCTCAGAAATACCCCATACTGACAAATTGCAAGGAATTTAATACAAACATACACCGTATACGTGACAGCAAAATAAATAGTGTCAGAGCTCACAATCTAAATAATCATTGCAATATTGTTAATGCTAATATTTCGCATCTGGACACACTTAATTTGCGGGATTAAAGTCTTCCAAAACAAAGGTAATCCAATCTTCCTTATGAGCTCGTTTTGAAGGAAAAATTGTTACAAGTAATAGTAGTTAAATGTTCTGAATGTAGATGACGTTATAAGAACGTTATATGACGTTATATGAGGATAGATTTTGTTAGCACATTAAATCAATAAATATAACTACTTTAGTTATATTTAATAAAAAAATTATAAATTTACTGCCATCTCCAAAAAAAGTTCAATTTCAACAACTCAATTGAAATAACTTAAATCAGTGTTGACATTTTATAAGGAATGTAGTGTCATGATATTTCTATTTAAGGCCGAAAAGATTAATTCTCGTACCGTTAAGCATAGGAAGCAGTATGAACTCGACACGAACTCTGATTGATGTAAAAGTAATAACTTTATGATTGATGGTGCCTTAGAAAGGTAATCTCTGCATCCTATGTTAACAGTAGTGCAGAGAAATGATTTGAATATAGTGGGAAAGAAGTTTAGGGGAAAAAGACAGAGAGAAACATTTTTGGGGGAAATTGATAAAACCCTTTAAGAAAAAAATCTTCACTTAAATTATTTAAGCGTAACCTTCCTCATAACCTCAATTTTTCAATTATATTTTGCACATTGATTATTTATAACTGAGAAATCATCGGGAAAATTACTAAACGAAATATGTCTCAGGCATTTTTTAGTGGAAAAGTTAAAAATTTTAAACATTTCAGAGCCCAATTCAAATCTGCAAAATCTACTAATTTATTGAATGAATAGCACTGAAGGGGTCGAGATAGCCTGGTTGGTAGGGCTGTAGACCCATGTCTAAGTGGTCGTGAGTTCGATCTTTTCCGGCCGAAGACTTCCCGTGTTGTAAATGGTGACATGTACATGTTAGATATGTAGGGTCACAAAGTCTTCCATGTTCCCATGACAAATCATACCAGTGGGGGTACTGAATTGGAGATCCATCGTTCTCTGGTTCTGATCAAAATTAATATTTGTCGATAAATGGATGTAAGAATGGGTCCGTCCTATAAACAGGCTGTGACGTATGTGTATGATGTAAGTCAAATTCTTTGCTACAGGTGGCGCCACTGGGAAATAAGATGAAGCTCACTCCCTTTGCCTTAATGGTATACGACAACAACAACAATGGGGAACAAATATTTTTTTGTTTTATGTTGCATGAGATTTTTAACAAACACTTTCGCAACGCTGATTTCGAAACTGGGGTCTGTTTTCTTTTCAAAGCTACAGTTTTTTCTTTATATTTCATTTTAGTATATTTTTTAGTCGAAATGATTGTTTAAAAACGTAATATATAACAGGGAACGTACTAATGTTGCGACGAATTTCTAGGAGAGATAGGGTACATCATCAGGATTAAAATTACATAGGAACCAATGCCCGGAAACGTCGCCATACGCCGCTGGAGACACATTGCTATTATAAACTTTTCCTTCGCGTGCTTTTGTGCAGGTCATAATAGGGAAGCGCCTCTAATCGCGTACTACGACATTTCCGTATTTTGTTTCCTATGCAAATTTTAATCCTGATGAAGTGCCTGAACTCCACTAAAAGTTTGCCCCCTGTTACATGTAACATATTTGAACATTAGAACAGTTCGACAAAAATATACTGAAAATGTCATTTAAAAAAATCTATAGCTTTAGAAACTAATTTCAGATTTGAAATTTCCACACACGAACTAGTCGCAAGATCAACTATTTCGATAAATTCAACAAAAAATTTGTTCCCCTGTGTAATTAAACAAACTATGTTTTTCTTCTACGCCTTGTAGAAAACTATTTCGGAGTAAATTTCAGTATAGAAAATTCTAAAATAGCAACTAAATCCTAAATATTCATATACAGCAGTAAAATTTTATGTAAAAAATACTTGAAAGTAATCCTATATGTCAAATTAAGACGAGAAAATAACTCTGGTAAGATGATGTTGCATTTCAAGAGCAGGCTCAAAAAATCCAACTGTATAAAATATTAAATAAGTTAAAACTGTATTTTGAGTATATAATTTTATATGGAATAAACGAGAATCACCATTTCAACTTTAATACATAAATATTACTTAAATAGTACATCAAAATTGTATTACTTGAAGACTTCGAATCTCTTTTACACGCAGTTTTTAATACTCAAACTTTCCCGTTAGAAATTTCAGATCGTGTGGAATTACAATTCCCTTATAATTTTCAGCAACCTTCAAAGGCGTTAATTTGAACTAGTTTAGAGAATAATATTAATCCTTTCTAGACTAATATTTTTCAAAAACGGGGTTAAATTAATCAAACTATAACAGTTACAGCAAGTTTGCGCGACATTACACGATGGCTGGTAACGAACCAATTTTTGTGAGATTCTGGAACATTTCTAAATAAAATCGTTCAAATTAATTATTATTCTTATATTTTCAGAAATGCGCCTGGGAACAGTTCAGAAAAAGTTGTAAGCTTCAGCCCTTACAAGCGAATATCATGCGTGATTTTCATTTTATTTTGTTATAGTTCATTTTTTATAAAATAAAACTATGTGTTATTAATGTGCAAGCAACAGAATGTATTTTCTTCATATTGAGTGGAATTGGGCTTAAAATTTGAAGAAAAAAAATATCTCATCATGAAAATCCCTGCATAATATATTGCATTTAGCTAGAATGCAGATAACACTTTATTAGGTATTGTTACATATTTCGCATCGATAATTTAACTATGCAAACTGATAGAATAATTAAAAGCAAATTTCGACTAACTTGTGCTTTCTTTGCTGTTTTATCGCAAATATTGCGCAAAAGATTCTTCGATTAAAAAGAAAAAAGCATTAACTCAATGGAAAGAAAATATGACAATAAAAAATTCAGAAAGTAAACTAACATGACTGATTGGCTCTGGTAGCCTAGTGGTTACAGAATCAAACTTCGGTCCTGAGGGCCGGGATTCAATCCTCCATTCCACTGTTACTAACAGAGTTAATGCGATTTACGTAAAATCTGTGGAATCAAAAGTTCTGTGATCGGTGGTTAGGCAGTTAATTTTTTTTACTCTTCAGATCTATGTTAAAATAGAGGGAGTAGCCTTAGGAATGAGTGGTGTTGCTATCTATCCGTGAGGTTCTGGACCACGACGTATCTTCACACTTGCGGTGCTCTCCTGTCAAACGAAGGGCGCACCTCACTGACTTAAATCGCAAAAGTCCAATGACTGGCGATCTTGGCTTGTCCAAGTGTCGTTAGAAACAACAATATAACAGATTGGTACTATATATTACTGACTTATGTGTTTCTTGCTGTTTCAAATAATTATAAAAAAATCAAATGAACAAGAAGTTTAACAATAAAAAATGGTTAAGGGGAAAAGAATTGATGGACATCTCACCCTGGCAGGTACAGAAGAATTGGGTTTTTCCAGCAAATCCCACAGAAATTTTTGGTACTGCGAGCACCGGTGGTGCCCAAACTCATCTTCCTCCCTCTGCCTCAAGGATTCTGCCTCTTTCCTCATCTCTTCTTGAACGTGTTCTTTCTTCTGGTGGTATTTGTGCTGGCAACAGGATTCCAGGTAGAGCTCATCGATTCCCCAATAGTTGAGATCATCACTGAAGGCCAGCACACACATTTCTTCCACCAAATGCAGTTTTCCTGTTCGGTAGAAATTCAGGACAGCGCTGAAGGAGCGTGGATGGCGATCAAAGAAATACTCATTGTCCATTAAGCTGAAATAAAAAAAATAAATATATGTGATTAGTATAAGTTGAATTAAAACCAGTCTAGGGCTAGATATTTTACAACCAGATTTGGAATAATTGAATAACTTAGAAGATCATATTTGGAGATATTTTAAGAGAGAGTGTATAAAAATACCGGCAAGCTGTTTCTGAAGTATTTTTCTACGGAAAATCTATTTTTCTTAAAAAAAATTTTTTTTATCTTAATCCTTTTGACGCAGATGCGACACCTATGTCCCTTTCATATATTTCTTTCTGGCACTCTTATTAGAAGCAAAAATATATTTTGGTATTTTTTAATTATAAAAAAGCAGTCTAATAGTTGCAAAAAAAATCTGTAAGATTATCGAAATTATATTTTACACTAAAATATAAGATCCAAAAACAGTAGTTTGAAAAAAAAGTTTTTTTTATTCATATTCAAAAATTAATTAGTAATTAATTTCGTGAATAAAAGAAATTTCAATGATGAATATAACTGTTTTTCTTAGATCTAAATAGTTAAAAAATTATTGTTTAGAAGTGAGTCATATTTTGAAGATTTCACTTTTGACGCAGGAAAAAAACACCGGTGTTTCATGCTATATTTCATAACCATAAATTATTAAAATGCTAAATATAATATTTTTACTTATNAATCAGTAATTAATTTCGTAAATAAAAGAAATTTCAATGATGAATATAACTGTTTCTCTTAGATCTAAATAATTGAAAATTTATTGCTTAGAAGTGAGCCATATTTTGAAGATTTCACTTTTAACGCAGAAAAAAAAACACCGGTGTTTCATGCTATATTTCATAACCATAAATTATTAAAATGATAAATATAATATTTTTACTTATTTTGACCTAAATTAATACAAAATAATAAAAAGTATGAAAAATATGTTTAAAAATGATACGTCAAAGAGTTAAATGTTGGTGGTTTTTTGCTATATGGGATATAGATAAATCATATATAAATACCATTTAAATTACCCTTTAAAAAGAATCGAAATATATCGAAATCCTACTAATAAAACTAAATGTACATATAAGAAAAAATGTAAAGGTACAAAACCCGAAATGGGTTATACTAAGCAGAACTTAAACAACATTTCGAACTCAAGGTAACGAAATCAAATATCACCATAAACTAAGTCTGACAAAAACAAGTAAAGGTGTCTGCTTGAATCTAGAGTTTATAGGTTAAAAAGACGAGAACGGATCAACTGCATCAAATGTTAACGTTTTAATATATTCAATATAAGAAAATAAAATGACTTCACATAAAAAAAAGCATGACGCGGAAATAAAATAATAAATATTATTATAATTTACGAGATTAGGATCCTTATTAATCTATCCTTTCCTGGCATGTAATATGAGAAAGAAAAGGGCGAAATTATTAAAAATAAAGTTTTAGTATTAGGTATGAGCATTATTTTAGATTTATAAAATTTTGCTTTTTTGTGGTAAAATTTTTTTAGCTTCTTTTTTAAAAAAATATATCTATTCAGATAAAAAATTTAGCTTTTTATACCCTCCAACTACTATTCAGTTTTCGTACTTTGGAAAAATATTTTTTTATTTAAGTAAAGATTAAGTAATAATATTTCAATTAATCAGAATTAAAATAATTTATTTCATCACTATGAATAAATAATTTTATATAATATGTCATACAATATGTCAACAGATATGTTACATAATATGTCAACAGATATATAAATGTCAGATCGAATAATGCCAATGTCCATATTGTCTAATAAAGGTTTTATAGAATTTCTATTTGCTAAATAAATTCTTCTTCAGTGATAATCTGTAGTATTCTGTACTATAGTCCTATACTGTATATAACCAGCGGAAAATATGCTTCACTCAAACCTCAAAGTTTGGTGGTTATTGTTTTTAATAAATGCAAAGGGATGTTGATTTTTCAAGACATTTTTTTAAATTTCAATTCCTTAAGAATTATAGAAGAAAAAAACAAATACGTGAAATATTCCTAATTAGATTTCATTTCCACGAATACTATTACTAACTAATAAAAATTTTAAATAATCTAAAAATAATATTTAACAAAAAAAATTTAATGTTAGATTTTGTTCCGAATTTAATAAAAAATGCTTTTTTTAAATAACTTTTCAAAAAGAAGAAACACTTTTGTCTTGAAGAAGAATATATGAATTCAGATCTAATACTAAATTGTATTACTTGAAGATTCTTGATAATATTTAATATTTTTTTGAGAATAATATATTTCTTTTATATTAAGATCACGCAAATAATAAACGGATTTTTTTTTCATTCCAATTTGACCGTTGAATAAAAGTAATTATTAGACAATCTAAAGTAACTTAGAAAAATTCGAAACGCTCATTTTATTTATAACACTAGAGGGTTTTTGAAATAAAAAATAACCGTCTTCAATTACCTCGAAGTCTTGTCTTACAGTAATGAGTTTTGCTACCAATTTAATTCTTATCGAGTTAAATTCTTGTAGAAATTGCGTTATACTTTAATGATGTCCTACATAAAAATCGAGTAAAAGTAGAATTTCATATTTTATTTCAGGAAGTAGATGATAGATAACTATCTACGTTTACATTTCAAAAATTATTCAATTTTATTCTTGTTAAATATTTTATTTCAAAAGGTTATGGGTAGGTAAATATGTTCACATTATAAATCTATTGCAGAACCAATTATTATTTAAACATAAGTGAACTTGATACTTGCTACGATTGGTATATTCAAAGTGATCAATGTCAAATTTATGTCGAAAAATCAATTCCAGTGAATTTATGATTCATATTTAAAACCACTGCTAACAAAACGCTGGAGATCATTATGTGTTAATTTAACGATTAAAATAGATGAATGAATTTTTTTTTCTCTTTTGAAGCTTCGGAAATGATGACTTTGTTTGAAAATAAATATATTACTGCAATTTAAATTTTTATTTGTAAAGTATAGCCTACTTTAGTTGTAAAGTATAACATACAAAGAGCATTTTATTTGATACTTTGTAATTTTTCATTTTGCAACAAAACGTAATAAATTAGTCTTAATTCTTTTCATGATTCGAATTCAACACAACATAGGAAAAAGTTTCAGTAATGACTTATTGGACAAAGCAAATATTTTTCTGATGGATGGTTTACGCCGTTAGCGTCCAATTAATTTTACAAGTCTTGGTATTCATGACAATAAAATAGCATCATTAGCACAAATGTTTAAATTAGAAACATTTTAGGGACATTTAATAAAAACATAATTAGTGTATAAATTTAGGTCTAAACGAATTCTGGATTCAGTAAAGTAGTATAATCTAGTAAATTAAGCCATTTTGTTTAAGTTCTGAGAATTTTCATGAAGTAAAGCTTTTCGTTGCAACCAAACGATGCATTTCAATTAATTTTTGTAACTCGACATTTGACTAATGATGAGCACGTGCAACAAGAAAACTAACTGCTCGAGGGACTGAAGAAACATAAATGATGTTTAATTTATCTATAGCATTTCATAAAGTTTGTTTCTTAATCGTAAAGAGGAGATAGAAGACGATCTGGTTTTCAAAAATAATAATAAATAAATGAAATAAAAAAGAAGAAAAAGCACATTTTATAACTGGAAATAGTTAAACATTCTCAAAGCATTCCAGCTGTGACACACACAAAAGCAGTTCCAAATGTGAACACGCAAAACGTTTTATATTATTACGTTTGAACATACCAGCAATTAAATTGAAATGAGTTTTAATATTAAAAGCAACATAATTTAACCAGAAAACATTGACTTATAGTTAAGTTGATAGGGGTATCGTTAGAGGGGGTAGCACACTTTTTGTTTTTTGAAAACTGGTTATTTTAAGTTTTATACATATATATATAAAAAATAACTATGCATATATACATAAAACTGAGAATAAACGAACAGTATGCTAAAAACCAAAAGTATGCCCCCTCTCATGCTGCACCAATGGTATTCTGAAATTAAACATAGTAACAATTCATTGTGTTGACACAGGTTCGGTAAGTTTACTTTTAAAAATCTCAGATCTCTGTTACAGGGTAAGGAAAAAGATAGTTTGAGTAACTGCGATATTTACACTAAAGATTAATTTAACTAATCTCGAATGCACAAGAAAGTAGTTTAAAATAAATTGCTGACCCGGTACCAGGATTTATAGAGTCAATCTGCAACCCTATCTTAAAAAATACAAGCTTGTCTGCAACTTCAAAGTAGTCAAGTAGAGATTAATTAAGCTTTATCTACCATATGTTTAGCAAAATTTGCAAACATAAAATATAATAGAGTCGAACCCAAAAGCTTTGTGGTCTTTAAATTTAATTCGAATTTTATTCAATCATACTTTAGCTTTGTTCAAATTTAATCAGCTTATTCTAAACCCAATAAAGAAATCAGAAAGAAAGGCTGAACTTGCAGATGATAATATTGAAGTTAAAACTTTCTATTTATTTTGAAAGAAAAAATTAACGCAATCGTAATTTATGGTGTTTTGATTTGCACCTATTTACTGTTGCCTAAAATGAAATACTATACTGTCGCAAGTACTTGGAGGACAAAAACAGTAACAAAAAGAATAAAATAAGGATAAATTGAGGACGTGTCTTTTGTGGTATAAAATTTTAAAAAAGGAAAATTATTTCTTTGCCTTCATGAATGAAAATTAAAGACTCTTATTTTTTTGAAATTCATCGTTGGTTTTTAATTGTTTTGGGCTTTTTATTGCTATTTTTCTCCATTTTAAAAAAAAAATCTTAAGTGGAAAGTAATCTGTAGATGCTATAAAATCTGCAGAGTCCGCTGCCACTCTGGAGAGTTTCGGTTACCAGGACTGTAGACGTAGACAGTATGCACAGAACACAGAAGAAATGATGAAATATTCCAAGCTTAGCTATTAAACGGTATGCTTAACACAAAAGATGTCAGAACTTTCGTGGAGCCAAAAATTATAATAGTAACTATTAACTACAGGGTGATTGAAAGGCATGGTAATGGTCAAATATCTCGAGAAATACTCTTGGGATCTAAAAATCAAAAGATGCATTTAACTGTGCCGAACTTGAAGCAAAACCCTCTACCCTAGAAGTGAGGTAGGAAGCAACTTCAATTTTTTAAACAAAACCCGCAATTTTTGTTTTAGATTTAAATTTTCGTAAAAAGAGAATCCATAATTTGTACATATTTTCTAACGACCCCAAACTCAACATACATCCCAAAACTTCCAAGAAGATGTACCAGTAGAATGTAGTAATTACTTTCCAGTTGATGACCCAGCTTCAAGGTACGTGATCTAACATCGAGACTGGTGTCGTTGAATACTTCTTTTGGAAATATTTTACAGTGTATTTTATATCCGATGAATATTTCTTTATGATACTTAACCACTTCCATATTTTTCCGTCACTCAGCATAAGAGAAATCACAACAATATCATACCTGTAATCGTCACACATCTCCATGATAGCTTCATGCGTGTTACAATCTTTCAGCTTCCCCAGCCTCGTATGAGGTAGATTTTCCAAAGTCCTCCACAGCACTTCATGTTTTACACCACCCACATTGATAGTTACACGTTTGTTGAGTGTCCGGCTCTTCATGATCATGAAGGGTTCAGGAGGCAAAGAGGAAGTCGATCTGGACTGACTCCTCCTCAACGCTTGTTGGGGCCAACCTGGAGGTTGAGGCAGAGAGCCTGATGGTAGGTTAGCTCCATACGGCAATGTAGGAGGTTGAGGAATAGATGGAACATGTGGGGCAGTTGGAACGTTGGGAGCAGAGGACCCAACCAAGGCTATAGGAGGCCCTGGGTCCCATTTATTGTCCATTTTGTCTGATCTTGTCATATTTTCTGTGGCATTTTGACGATAGGGATCATTTTCAGCCGCGGAATTTGGTCCTTCCGCCACTTTGTACGATGTATTTTGGAGCCTGGTTTACCTATCGTGCTTTAACTGAAGTGAGCTATTGTTGATATTTCAAGACATCTTGGAAAGTTCGACATTATAAAGTTGTCCGTAGTAAGACAATCCTGAAAAAATAAAAATGAAATAGTTTAAAGAAAGAGAATTTAAAACCAAATTATGTTTTAAGTTGTTCTATGGAACTAAAAATCTTTGCAAAAACATTAGAATTAAAGATTTAACCGTAGACAATAAACATGAAACAGAAATACACTGGTGGGCAAAATTAAGAGATGGAAGACATTTTCCCAAATATCTCAAAAAATACTGAATATAAATAAATGAAATATGGTATGGATATAGCTTATTCCATGATAATAAAGTATGCAAAACAAAAATGAAAGTGCCATTCACTGGCAAGACCTATTGCCAATAAATCCAATGTAGTCTGAACTTAAGGATAAAAGATGACAATAAAAGTGAGGCTTGTACAGTATGTGTTGCCTCTAGTACGGTGTATGGTCACCCCTGACAGACAGCATGCACAACGAATATGCATGCTGTTAATAGGGGAGTTAAGGAGGACTTGTGGAAGACCCTCCCATTCCTCCATCAGAGCAATTTTTAACTCCAGAATGGTTCTGGAGGGAGTTTGGCGTATCGCAATAGCTCTCCCAAGAGCATCCTAAGCATGTTCAATAGGATTCAGTTCAGAGGATTTGATTGGCCATTCCATTCGTTGAATATCCTCGCTTTCCAGATACTTATCAACCATGAGAGCCCTATGTGGTCGCACATTGTCGTCCATAAAAATGAACTCAGGGCCAACAGCGCCCCTGAAAAGACGCACATGGGGCTCTAAGACCTCCTGCCTGTACCTCTGGGCATTCACGGAACCATTGTCAAACACATGGAGCGGTGTGCGGATATCTTGCATGTGCGAATGAATGTGCGAAAATGCTTTCCATCTCTTAATTTTGTCCACCAGTGTATTTGTTATTCTTTGCACGTAATTAAATGCCAACCTTGATGACGTGTGTCTTGAATAAATGTTTAAAAATAATGATTGATCAAATGTCATTTACCTCACGCAAGAAACACATCTAATTCACAAATATTATGCAGTGTTCCAATAATTCTAAAAAAATTACATGGTGCCATTTAGCAACACAATGTCACAATTACTGACCTTTCTCTTTGATTTTTACTTCAGACCTACACTTAATTTTTCTGAGTAGGTGATAAAAACATTAAATCGTAAAGTTGTCATAAAGGTCTCAATGTACAGTGCGGGAAAAAAAATAAAACACCCTAAATAACTTTTGATTTAATGATCGGATTTTTTCACGTTCTAGGATTCAATCTTAATGGCTCGGAAGATTGACCTCAAATATGCTAATTATTTAGTGAAGACGATATTTTAATGTGAGAAATCAGACGCAAAAACATACTTTCTCTGAAAAAACAATCAACGGATTCGGAATTCTTACTCTAAAATAGAAGGCGTAGCCACAGTCTGAGAACTATGGTCAGTAGTTTGGTCGGAAGAGCGGTTTAAAGTTTGGACTCCTTACATTATCATTATTTTTTTTTTGCGTATTTCGCCTTAATTCAAGACTCTTTTTAGCTAATTGTAAAATTTTCGCACTCAATTATAAAATTTGTTTATTAAATTCCGTGTAAAAATTGTCAGTAAATATCATTTTTAATTATTTTATTTACCAATAATCGAAAAAAGTTTTTAGTTGTAGGTTATATGATTCTTACGTATTCTTATAGAATGTAAATTTACATGGCAAAATACAAAATTTGAGCAAATTAATACAAATTAAATTTTTTTCATTTTTTTGAAATTAATGGTGTAATAAAGAAAAAGGTACATATCCAGCATTGTATGTTGAGTTGCACAAGGGTGGGACGCAGCAGTTGCCACCAAAAACATTTACTATGTTTAATAATCGCAATAGACGTTTGAAAGTGCTAAAAGTATTTTTTTTTTAATGTTTAAACACGGTAATTTTGATCCTTCCAACTCGTATTGACCAGGAAGATCAACCCTAGAAAAAATTAATTAAGGGATTGGGAGGTATGGTCTCATTCACTATACTCATCCGACATTGCGCCATTAGATTTCTGTTTATTCCAATCATTGAAACCTTATCCAACAGATTAAGAGATTTAAAATTTTGATGAAATCTAAAGTACCATCACCAGATATTCTGTTTAAAAATGAATTACTTTTTACAGATTCAGCATTGAAAATTTGCATACTAAAAGAAGAATTGTTATTGATAACGAAGATGATACTATATCCTTGATTAAAAATAAAAACTTTAAATTTATGTGCTTGGGTGTGCACCATTTACTATATTTCGTTACTGTGATGGCCGTTAATTTTTTTTATTTAGTTTACCGAATTATATCGTATAATAATCCTTGATGTTTATGAACGCATAAGTGAATGTAAGAGTGGATAGAAAGAGCAGAACGAAGCAAACCAATTCAACGAATAAGAAATCAGATATTAAATAAAGTAAACTTACAACTTATATTCTTTTATACTTATTTATAATCAATAAAAACGAGAGTTAAAATTTTGAATACTAACAGTCGATGACCATAGCTTTTTATTTAATGCAGTTTTTCAAGGTCATTTTATATTAATTATATATGTAAGAAAAGCATTTTTGATTATCCGAAACTTAATCAAAAATGTTTTTAATGTTTGAATTAATGCATACTTATATTTGTATATATACAGGGAGTTCTGTAATTAACGCTCTTAATATTTATTTTTGAAGTTCTGCAAAATTAAAGTAAACTGTATGCTAATTAGGTATCGCAAATAAATATTAATGAGAAAACAGTTTCAAAATAAGACACCTTACAGTTGAGAAAAACGGTACAAAATCTATCGAAACCAGTATGTTTGACAGATAAAATTTGAAAAGTTTGTTAATGGTCATCTTTTATCTTCTTTGAGTTTTCTCTGAAAATTAAACAGTTTTTAATCTTTTAAAGTTTTCTACTCCTCGTTAATGTTTCATCATGTCTTGATAACGTTTTTCTTTTTTACTAGCTTAAATCTTATTATTAGACTTGGAAGGATTTTCATTTCTTTTTAATAGATTTTGTATTAAGAGCGGTTATTATAGAACACTTCGAATATCCTTGTGAGTGCCAGTGTCCAACATATTGGGTTCAAAATAATAGTTTACTTAAATAAAATGGGGATTTCGATAGCATTTTTGCTATTCTTACATTCTTTGAAAGAACAGAATTGCTCATCAAAATTTCACGAATCATTAAGATTTTTATAGTGTTTTAGTTCTTCGGAAAAATATAAATTTGTTATTTATAATATGTATACTTCGATAGCATTTTTGCTATTCTTACATTCTTTGAAAGAACAAAACTACTCATCGAAATTTTACGAATCATTAAGATTCTTATAGTGTTTTAGTTCTTTGGAAAAATATTAATTTGTGACTTTTAACATGTATATTTTTTAACTTAATTTTTTTTTACTAGAATTTCAAAAACATATATTACGAGTAACAGCATAATATCATGAATCAGATTAGTTTAGTCTACATAAATTAATCCAAGACGAATTTTATTAACACAAAACATGTTTTTTTTTCTTCCACTGCAGTAAATGAAAGTTTTTCTGTGGAGTTTGCGAATTACAAATAAATAGGAAAAGCAAATTCTGTAATAAGTAAACGCAAAGTTCTTAAAAGTGTAAAAGTTTATGAGAAGTTCTAAAATGGAACTAAACAGGCTTTTAAGGGTTGGTAATGCAATCTGTTTTAGGATCCAAGCAGACAGGTTTCCAAGGCGACCCAAAGACTCGCTTATTGATTTAGTTCCTTTTAGAGAACAATCTAAGGAGGGGAGGAACTTCCAATCTTCAATCATACTTGCACATTGTTGATCAAACTATTATAAAAACAGCACACATATGGGAGAAATGTATCAGCATCTTTCTATTTTTAGTTTGGAGAAAATAAAGTAAATATATCCTGGAATTGTTTCATGGAGTTAATTTTTTTTCCTGCATGCTAGTCTTAAAACTTTTGAAACAATCGGAAATTGGATGGAATATTGATTATTATAATTTTAGACTGCTGTATAAAGAAAAGCTGAAAATAAACATTGGCGTAAAGAATGCTTTAGAAAACTTAACCTATAGCGTAGTTAAGCAAAAAAATATTTAAGTTTTTTAAAAATAAGTATAAAAATAATGGCTAACGTTTTTTAATGTTCTAAAAACTTTTTTCATAACTAGATTTTTTTTCTGTACCATCATACAGTTTGATTAATTTTTTAAAAAAAAGTTCCCCCTTTTTTTGAAGTTTGTTAAAATTAATTAATCTTTATGTTGTTTGTATGTATGTAGTTTACTTACTCTTTGACGCAGAATTTTAATTTGTATTTTTGCATATTTTTTTTCTCATTATTTAACATAATTTTGGTCAAAATAAGTATAAAAATGTTATATTTTGTATTTTCCGAATTTATGGTTCTGAGATACAGTATAAAGCACAGGTGCCTTTTCCTGTGTTAAAGGTAATATCTTACAAACACAGCTCACTTCCAAACAATAATTTTTCAAATTTGCACTTACTTACTGTTATTTTGATTCAAGAGAAACAGTTAGTTATTCATCAATGAAATCTCTTTAATTTGTATTTACTGATAGTTTTTTGATTATGAATGAAATTAAAAATTCGAACTACTTTTTTTGGATTTTATATTTTGGTACAAATATAGTTCCGATAATCTAACAGATTTTTTTAGCAACTTTTTAAATTGTTTTTTATAATTAAAGAATAACGAAATATATTTTTCTTTGAAATTACAGCTTAAAAATATATATAAAAGGAACACCGGTGTCCCATCTGCGTCAAAGGGTTAATGCATAGGATATTACGTAATCACTGCCCTTAATACATATATTTTGAATTTTACCGAAACCGAATTCAGAAGATATAAGGGTTGCAAACAAATATTTATGCTAGGAAAAAAAGGAAAAGTAATCAAAAGCTATGTGAAAAATGATTATATGTACTCAGTAACAAAATAAGAAAACGAAAAAGTGAAAATAATTTTTCTAATATAATTT